CCCTCGACTGCAGCTTGTACTGGCCAGCAAACTGCTTCTGGTGWCCCACTGCCAGCACTGAATCGGAGGCTCCAAGCAAACGCTTGGGTCATGGAACTGCTCAGGGACTGCTTCCCGCCTTCCCCTCGGACCATTCTCAGCAGAAATCTCATTCTTTCTTTTTACCTTTTCACTTCTYGAACACTTGTATCTCTGTACAAAAGCAGTTGTGAGCTGGGATGACTCAGCGGGACGGGAAGCAGGTTTGCCTCTGCAAGCTACTGAAACCCAGGATTATGATTTGCCCACGCGCTTTCCTTCAGCCATCCCTGGAGCTGTACCAGCCGCCTGCTTGCTGTGGCAGGCTAMTTACAATTTAGTTTGGCCACCGGCACCAGCTGCTTTTGATTTCTTTTATCTAATGGCGCTGGGCAATCAAAGCGAGCTGCTTTGGGACCTTCTCCCTGCRGGCAGCCGAAGGAATCGAGCAGAGTATTAGAAAGGCATTAGCTTCTCCTTTACTCTCTTCATTTTTTCCCCCTGGAGCTGGTCCAGCTGGAGCCCAAACAAGGCGAGGATGAGCGCGAAGGGCTCTGCCTCGCCGAAAGCACGCGCTGACGTCAGCCTCCCCGGGCCGGCGCTTTAATCACCGCGGGGGGAACGTTCCTCGCGCCCTCCGCGGCCCCGCAGCACGAACATCAGCATTTATGGCAAGGAGGATTTATTTGCRTTGCTGGTTAAAAGCGTAGCAGACTGGTAATGCCTTTACAAGTCGCTAGGCTGGGAGTCCGGGACAGCTGAATTCCTGTCGGCTCAGGCTAGGTACAGCCAAGACAGCAAAATGACCAGTGCCTTTCCCTATGTATTTCCACCTGCACTGAAAGCTGGAGGCAAGAGGCCAGKCCAGCCCCTATGTGCAGTAATACTGATAGCCCCTCTAGCCAAAACTGGGAAAAATACTCTGGAAAAAAAAATGTATAGGGCAGCAAACATGAGGGACAGATGACGTAGGGACTTCTGAAGGTCTTTTTGAGGCATCTAAAGCACCCTCTTTTTCATAGCAAAGCACTGAGAACTAGCAGGTTTGGATCTTGATTCTCCTCATCTACTCTGAGTAGATTTATTCTCCGCGCATGTTGTGTGTGAGCATGTGGGAAGCAGGAGCACGGCGGAGCCGCCGGCCTTGGCTCCCTGCCATAGGTGTGCCCGTATGTGACGCTCTGGCACAACGGCTGCCCCGGTGCACGAGCCAGGACAGCCAGGACGGGTCTCGCTGGCGCAATCTGAGGCGGGATTTCAGTCCCRGCGGCGCGGGGAGGCCGCCTCCCGGCAAACAGGGCTGTCCCAGAGCCCGGCAGCGGCAAGGATGACACGCGCTGGTGATACTGGCAGGCTGCTCTCACTGTAAATGCAGTCAGCCTCAGCTGCGCTCATTAGGCCGCCCGCTCCACAATGAAGTGGTTTCCTAATTATAGCCTTGGCTTTAGCCTCGCCATCCTGTAGTGCCGTGCGTCAGCGGGTGCTGCTGCCTCCTTTGTGCCTCTCGGAGCAGGGTGCCGCGCAGGGCTGTCCCAGCGCCCGTGCCCTGCTCGCCGGCGTGACTAAGGGAGGGTTRCGGATGGATTTGTGGCAGCCAGATTTCTGCTTCACGGCTCCTGCGTGCTGCGCCTGTGGCCTCTTACGAGGCCTTAGGTGGCTAAGAGGTTTGCAGGCATTTAAAACATAGATATCCACATGTACACATGCACACTCGTAAATACATATAAAAATACATTTCTCTGTTTCCCAGTTAGTGATACGTTTCCCACATATATGAAAAATTCTATGGTGGTGGGTAGGAAAGACAGAGGGGGAGCAAGTGCGAACACTGTTATTAGAGATTCARCTAGACTCCATTCTGAGTCTTTCTCCCAGCCCCATCTCTCACACCAAAAAACACAAAAACCGTGGTGGATCCTGCAGAGCACCAACCACAGAGCCACCATGCTTTACTCACTTATCTTATGAAAACAGATACTCCCTCTTAGTTGCCTCCCCCTCAAGGAAACCAAAATTACTCCTGGAGCTGAACAGCCTGGAGCTATCAGCTAAACTCAGACCACCACACAGCATGAGCTGTCCCCTGGAAAACGCTCACAGCTTTGGGGGTTTTAATAATTAGCTTGAGGTGCTTTTTTTATGTGCCTTTTTGGATTTGGAAAGCTTGCTTAGTGTTTTTAAAGTCAGGAGGCTGGAAACGTTTTTTCACTCTCAGATGAGAATAGCAATTCTCATGTAATGGGAGTTGCAGAAGCGAGGACCGTATAAACAACACCAAATATTGTGAAATTCATGATAAAATCATCACACTGTTGCTGATGTCAGCCCACGATTTGACTTGCTAACAAGGGAACCCTCACTCTGTTTTCCTGGTCTCTCTAAACTTGCTGCTTTGCCAGTCTTTTTCAAAACAATGTTGCTCATAGTGACCAATATGTCCCAGTATAGAAATTTGACATAGCCTCCTGCTCCCCAGTAAAGATTTGGGGGTATGGCCCTCCCAGCACTTCTAGACACGGCTCAGCTAATGCAAACCAGCTTTTTGCCACGATCCCATATTACCTCCCTGAGTGAAACAGGATCCATAAGCAAACACATTCTTTTCCCAGTATAAATACCTCAAAAGAAGGGTTTTTGCCAATACAGAAACATGGTGTGATTTTTCATTACACCTTTGCTGGATATTGCTATATTGATCAGAACTAGACAAAAAAAACAATAACCAACCACAGTTGCTGCAATCCAGCAGAAAATAAGAGTTCTGCAGAAACCCACGKGTTTTGAAATTTTGGAACAGTGGTGAAGTGCCATAATTTAACTTTCAGGGACTTTCTTGGAATAAGCATTTCAGTTTTCTACRTGAAAGGTTTGTTTTCATAAAGTCATAGAAATACTCAGAAGGCAGATTAGAAAAGCAAACAAACAAACAAACTTCATTCATCTGAAATATTATGATCAGGTCTAGAAAAAAAAAAGATTTTTTTTCAGAGTTTTGAAACTTTCTGATATTTTTCCCCAAGATGAAATGAAATGAAGGCAAATTGCAAACACAGATTTTGTCTTACAGCTGAAGTCCTGGTCTCCGCTAGAAGGCAGCCCTACTGGTGGCGAATGTTCCTTACAAACTGTTATTATTCAGGTAAACGGCAGGGAAGCCGCATTCCTGGTGCTCAGTGACTCCCGCCGGGCACCGCTCCTCTAGGGTGGCATCACACACTCCCTTCTAAGCCTGCTGTGCCCATTCCCAGCGCTGGCACCTTCCATGCCTGGGAGATGCAGCAGTTCTCCAGCTGGAGCTGCAGGCTGCCTGATGACTCACCGCGCGCGGAGCTGCCTTCGGAGCTCTCCCAACCCGTTCCCAGAAACACAAGGCTGAAACCTTCCTATCCACCTTGCTCTCTGTCTTGCATGCCTTAGCAGGGAGATCTTAGCTCCCTCCTCCATTCTTGATCTMCGTTTTCCTGGATGAGAGAACTCCAGATGTGGTAGGACCAAGCAGGAGGAATCACCCATGCCCTATGTGCAATTGCACAACCTGCTTGCACTCCCTGTCGTTGGCTTTCCAAAATCCTAAGAATTCTTCATCAATGAGATTTTCCCTCCTGACAGGGGCCAGGGGGGCACAARCAGGCTGTGCACAAGGTTCTCCTTCAGGTTGTGGCCCCTCTGTGGTCCCTGATCCAGGGCTCTTCTTGTAGGTGTCTGGGCAGCCTCCTCTCCCCCAGGGCACCACATATGGGCCACTGCTCAGGTCCTGCTCTGCATCTTTCAGTACGACACAGTAATCTGCATACCTCTCATTGCCYGTAGTTGGTTATAGCGTGGGGTAGATGACTCTCCCTTTGCTAAGGGTGATAATAAAGCAGAAACCCTCAATTTTCTGCCAGGGTCTCTACCCACCAATCCCTAAGTTGAGTGTGCTGCAACCTTTGACTCTTTCAAATGTGTTTGATTGCTTTTTGAATGAAAAGCAACCTAAAGAATGTCCATCTAGACTTCCCTGTGGAGTCTGAATCTGTCCATGATCTCTGCGAATTGAATTGGTTTGTAGAAAAAATTGCTTGTGGTTTGGCTTTCTGTAGAATAGCTGACGAAGAAAGGGGGGAAAAGATGGGATTTAACTGCAATTCTAAAGAAAAAGCAACTTGCCTCACAGCTTAACCTGTTGCACAATGGGTATAGACACTGCCCAAATTTGCAGAGGTGGTTTTGCATGCATAAGCAAATCTGTGGACTATACGGTGCTTAATATTGCTCTGCCTTGTGTGTCGATCATGTAGAGAACAGGCAGCAGCATTCCTGCAACRCGTCATGCTGTCTGTCTTACACCCAACTTCTGCTTCTGGCACCATTGCTCTGGTGAAATTCAGAATGCAAAATGTTTATCCTGAGAATGTCTTACTTACAGTACCTAACTTTTGGAAATATTATTGACAAATTGGTAAATTCAAACAAAAACTCTGATTGCCTGGGGAACCTAAGCTCAGAGGGTAAATAACTCACTTTAGGCCTAAGAGTCAAAATCAGGATGACTGTACATGCTTCCAATGACCACAGAGGTCTCATGCACCTCGTTTTGCTCTATTGTTTACCAGTGCTACCTGTTTTTATCCCTGTGTCCTAGCCTGTGTGGCCTGTGCTATGGCTGCGTAAATTAAGTTTGGATGACTAAAAAGAGAGCGCTTGCCCACGAAGCTGCAGTCCTGATAAAAACACTCTAATGCTCCTTAAAATGCCACCACATCAAGAATGAAAAATGCTCCTTGCAACTCATTTAACAAGGTCTGTAGTTCACATATGTTTTCTGTTTCGTGCTCCAGACTTGCTTCTAGCTGAAGGCAACCAGAGGGAAYCCAGCTGTGACCAATTATGGTCAGAGATGCATGGAGGTTAGAGTTTAAAAGTGGTGCAACAGCTCAGTCATTCACTCCAGCTTGAGGAAGCAGCTAAGGCTTTCCTCTGTGCTTTGATTTTCACCAGTTGTGAGTGTTTTGAGGCTGATTCTGTGTTACTTTATGTTAGCTCCATACTGATGTCACGCCCATGAATCTTGTTATATAAAGGTAAGGTTGCTGTGAGGCCTATCTAGTAAAATCTAAAAGACCAATCTGTGATTTGCTCCTGATTGTGTCTGTCTAGCTCTGTGATGAATATAAGGAGTATAGCCTGACTGCAGGTATAGTCTGGACCTACTGAATATTATAGACCTAATTGAATTTAGTTGAGGTCTGTAGCAATTCTATTTCTCTTTAAATGGAACTGGATTTAATGTTTTTAGGGACTGGCTGACTGATAGTTCATATAATCACAGTTTAAGCACACAGCAGAATATGTAACATACTGTTTTTGACAGGCTCCCAGTTGGACCTGCTGCTGAGGCAGTCCATTGGCATCCAACAGGTCCTGGACAACAACGAGAGTGCAGGGCAAGTTCTACACAAGCCCCTGCAGTGAGAACTTCCAGCATGGCCAGCAGTGCTGGGCCTAAAAATATCTATTGTGTGTGTGGGTAATGTCTGCTTCCCTCCCAAGAAAAGGGTAAAATAATCCAGAGGAGAGTAGAGGGAAAAGTGGGGACAGAGCCTCAGGCAGTTCATTATGAAAGACACAAAAGAAGGCAAGGTGGATATTTTGCTCTTGCTTTTCCTCATCTCAGAGATGCCCATGGGGTTATTCGTAGTATTAATGCTTTTCTTGGGGAGAAAAATGGCATTTGTAAGAACTACATATTTCTACATTTTGCAAGGGAGTTTTTTTTTTTTTTTTTTTTGACTTTTTTTTTTTTTTTTTTTTGACTTTAAAGTAGGGAAAATATTAGTTCTATTAAACATGCGAGTATTCTGTGTAATCTAGTGACTGAAGCAGTCTTCTGCTGGCGTGCTGGTTAACCCAAGGTGCTGGTTGCAGGAGGGCTCTGGTGGCACTTTGCCAGTTAACCTTTGCATGCTTTGCTCTTAGTCACAATTTCAACGTTTGGGCTGCTCCTGAGTTTATTTATCTGCTTCTGTTAGTGAAACACTTACCCTTTGAAATGCCCACTGCTCAGTGCATTTGCTTCAGGCCCCGGTGTGCCTGTGACACTGCTGTCTTGCATATCACAGAAGAAGCCCAAGCTCATTTGTAAGGAGATGTTAAATAAGCTCTCAAAAAGAAAGCAAACAAACTTGGCCGTATGAAGGCACCGAGGTTGGGGCTCAATTGCTAATGGGGGAGTGCTAGATGTGAACTTAGTGAGCTGGTAGGGAGAGAGGGAAACCACTTCTGCCCTCCCAGTACCTGCCTTTCTGCAGGGTCCCAGCTCATCACCGTGGCCGCTGCACGTGTGAGTCTGACCATGCTGGTTTTGAGTTTGTTTGCCTTGGCTTACCCTATGTCTTGTCTTCACAYATAAGAGTATAATGTGCTGCATTTACCCTTCTTCTTCCTTCTCACCTGTGTGTAGTCCTGAGGTCAAGGGAGACATTGGTTGAGGCCAAAAATATTTTAAGATAAAAAGCTCTTCCATAAGGATTGAGTGTTCATAAATAAGTTGGGTATACCTTTTGTAAACTAGAGTCTATATTTAATGACTGTGAGATAGTTGAGAAACGTGAAGCAAATTTGCTCTGTGTTTTCAGCATTTCCTAGAGCAGGTCTCAGTCCCTAATTTAWAAGGTCACTTGGCAATCTGTAAGCAGCTTTAAAGCCTGCATGGGCCTTAAAGCATTGGGCTTAGCCAGTGGAAAAAAACCKCCTGGAGCAAGGTAAGGTAACTGCCAGGAGAAAGCAGGAAAGGGGCTCTCTGATCAGTCTGTCRTCTCCTACTCCCAATACGAGCAGAGGAAGGAGAGCAGAAGGTTGTCTAGAGGCAGAGCATATGTTTGAGTCTTCAGAATTTCAGCTAATAATTTGCAGATTTATCCATTCCAGGCTTGCCTCCAAATGACCAAATGTAAAACTTCACATTGCCTTATGGTTAACAGAATCTTGCACAAATTGGCAACTAGTGCCTGCATGAGAGTCTGATATTCCTCTGTAATTTAGCCCTCCTCCTACCTTTCTTAGTCATCGTGGTCTGTACCTCCCACCACCTGACCACTGGTGCTGGTGGTCTCCTGCTTCTCTGCAGACCCTTGTCAGCCAAAGCATGACACAGGATTAGCTTTTTTTTTTTTTTTTTTTTTAATTCACTTTTTTTCTATCTTTCCCAAGCAAAGGTGAGAGCCCAGCAGTCTCCTATAACAAAAACAATGCTACAAATATGTTCAGATGTGTCTCAACAAGGATGTCTCCACTCCCCTTCTACACATTAAAACCCAAGTTTTGTGCTGTCGTAATGAAGGTGTTTGATAGCACAGCTTCACCCGGACCGAGGCTGTGGACAGACACTGCTTCCCCAAGTAGCTGTGGGGGTAAAAATTGTTCTGCCCCAAATTCAGTCCCTTCACATGAGGATGAGCTCCAGCTGAAGCAGGAGGAAGGCATGCAGGAACCTGGCTGGAAGTTTGGGGCAGAGAAATCCCAGCCCRAGGCAGGGATGGCTGGAAGGGGAAGGCTGGAGGGAGACTAGCATGATTGAAAGCAATGGGAAATGCCTGGTTGCTGTTGGTTTCACATTTTGCCCTCTGCTCTTGCTAGATAACTCTTCCATGGAGTACTTCTGGTATTTAACATTCTGCCTTACACCTGTTAGAAAATCCGGGACAAAAATCCACCTTGCTGCCTCCTTCCTGACTTCCTATGCTCCATTCTCGTGCCTCTCCAGGATGCCACACTGATGCCAGCTGTCAGGGAGAGGCTGTGACTAATGTGCATTTTAGTGCACAACAGTATTCTTCATTTGTTATTACCCAGCTTCAGCCTTTCTACCATCTTTTCTTTGTGCTTCCCCACTTATTTCATGCATCCGTAGCAAGTGATTAGCTCTTAGGAATGGGAATTGCTAGTCTGGATTCCTCAGGAAATGAGGCTTCTGCGATAATGTCCTCAAATAACTGTTGAATGCACTGGTTGGTGTAACTTGGCTTGTGGAAAGAAGGCTCAAAGGTAATTGAATTGCTACAGRTTCTGTGGAAGCAGGCAGCAAGCTGGAGGGAGAGACCAGATGTACAGTCATATAATAGAAAGGCAAAGGATTAGTAGATATAAAAGAATTCATAAAGAAGAGATATAATAAATGTCAAAGTTCAAGAAAGCACCTCAGTTTGTACCTGCAAATGACCACAAGACACAAATCCATAAGGAACCTGGACCTTTTAGATGTGTTGCTRTGAACTATGAAATAACAGTAATAAAGGCAACATGTGCTAATGAGTGTTTTACACCCAAGAGAGTATTTTCAGGGCAGCATCTTTTTGCAGTCTTGCTGGGTTTGGCACTTCTCTGTAGATTTCTCTGGCACGGCCTTGTAAAAACCTTATTCAGCCTTAGTGCTCTAATTTTGCCTCTTTCACTTCAAATGGTGGCACAAGAGATCTTGGAAGGACGTTTGGATTTTCTTCACTGTTACTGCTACCTGCTTACAGTTTGGATCCCAGGTGCTAAGGACAATCTCCATGCTGCATCTTTGGGGTCCAGAAGAAGGACAGTTTGGGAATAGCAGTCTTTTCTGGCTCTTACCCAGGTCTGTGCAACTGAGAAGATGTGATCATCCATAAGCTCATCTGACCTTTGCAGCTCTTGAGAACCCCCCCAGAACACAACATTTTCCTCCTAGTTTTTCATGCTTTGTCAGTGCCAGATTCCCAGCTCTCCCCTACTCCATTCCTGTCCCAGGGACAAATTCCTCAAAGGAGTGAGATGGCATGTAATCATGGCTAACCTCCATTTAAAAATAATAATAATAATAAATAAATATTTTGCTAATGGCAGGTAGCAGATCCAAACTTGGCTCAAGATTTTTGACTGCTAATGGCATACAGAACATGAGATGAGGACAGTACTGAAAGTCAGTGCAAGGTTAATTCTTTCTCTGTCTCTTTTTTTTTTTTCCTTTTTTTTTTTTTTTTCTCTTCCTTCGTTTTATTCTCCCCTCTCCTCTTGCAGAAAGGCTCCTTTTTTTTATCCTCCTTGTTGCATTGCCTTGTGTGGTAGCTCACCTGTCATGTTTCGTGGAGCGGTGCCATGTTACCAAGATAAACATCGGTGCTTAGCTTACAGATTGTCTCAACACCAGGAAGGCTGTTACAGGGACAGGTTTAATAATTAATTGCTGCTTTCCCCAGACTGTGCATCCCGGGTGTCTTACGGAGCATACTGCACACTGCGTAACAGGAGGAGGAGGCTGGGGAGACAAAGCATTAGAAAAGGTAGAAAGACTGAGATCAAATGACATTACTCCTCTTGCTGAGGTAGAAACTGGTATATTCTTACCTGACCCTGAGAGCAGGGTGCCTGCAGCTGCTTGCGAGTACTTGAGGCCAAAATATTTGTACGCCAGTGTTGTAGTTAAGTAAATGACTCTTCTAGAGCTGGTGTCAGGACAAATGGGAGAGATCCATTCTTTGGGGTTCCTCTGTTGTATTGGTGTGAACAGATGTTGACTTTATGCTTTTCTTAATTAAATGGCTCTGGGCGTGTGAGGGGGTGGCTGTCACCGCTCCTACCCTGGCTGCCACCTCTCCTGCTGGAGCAGGACACTGCCCGTGTCCCCGTCGGCTGCTCCCGCCTGGCTGCCCTACCGTGGGGCCACCACTGGCCTCCCCCTGTGCCCTGGTGGCTCCTGTGTCACCGACCTGATGGGCCTGGGCAGTTCGGCTTGTGGTGGGGCTTGTCCTTACCCCCCGAGGGCCTCTCGAGCTGCCCTGCAATCCATCTTGCATGCAGACCAGAGMGGGTATGGGGCCTGCCTTATGATCAGAAGAATATGGTGCCTAAAAATGGTCCTGAAATGTTACACTGCATGTTTTGCTCATCTATGATTAGCACTCTATTTTTCTATGAAAGCCATAGCCCTAATGAAATTAAATGCTGCAAAGAGAGCAATAAGAAAAATATTGCTGCCTCGAGCCCCTTAGTGACCACAAGCCAAGGAGTAAACRCAGGCCCTGCTCTGTCTGTTTCTGTCTCTGCCTTGGGCATTTGC